AAAAAAATCAAAGACAGAGATTTCCCTAAATTCTCGTGTAAACATTCAGCCATTTGCCTACTCCTGGAAGGGCTGAGCAGAAAAAGAGTGGAATGCAGATGCCTGGTGAGGATGTGCCCACCAAGAGCGAGTTTTTCTAGAGTCTGCAGCCTCCCGCTCTAGGGTGAAGTCTGGAGCAGGCTGTTGGACTGGAGCAGACGGGCTGCTGTGGCTGCTGAGTGAGGGGCCAGGTCACCTGCTCCACCTCCCAACCCTTCTCTGTAATTGTAGCCTGCATGCACTGCAGGGCAGGGTCTGCAATCGTCAGTGACCTCAGGGGGGAGTGCGGGCCTTGGGCTGCTGTCGATCAGGGGACGTGGTCCCAGCAGGGCGTGCTGGCCACTGACCATTCCAGCAGAGCCCCACGCTGCGCCTCGAGCCCGGGGTAACAGTCGTGGGCATGCTGTTGCCTTTAAGATGCACAGAGCTGTCACATTCCTTGCTTTGGGTTGGTCCAGGACTGACAGCATTGGTTGCGAGAAGGAAGGCGGTCCAGAAGCTTGCTGTCCAGAAGGCTTTGTCGGATGCATTCCAGAAGCTGTGCATCGTGGCTTTGGGTGAGAGACTTTCTTGTTTCTTCTGGAAGTACTTCTGTTTGTACAGGCAAATAACTCATTTTGAAAGATTGACAAAAGTAGTGGATATTTAAAACACTCTGCATGATGCTTTTACTCTCTAAATTCTTTCAGCAGTGGGCTCAGATTTGTTCCTTGTGACATGTGGGAGAAAAAAGACCGTAAGCGTTGTTGTCCCCGCCTATTGATGTCCAACAGCTTGCCCCAGCTCACACAGGGAGTGTTTGGCGGAAGTCTTCTTCCTCTTGCCTGTCATGCTTGAGCCCTGATTCTGCCTCTCAGATTTTTAATGTCTATAGCCAGAGAGAGGTGTAGATGATGTTATGCCTCTAACCTAGTCTCTGGCGGCAAAACAAGGCTAGTAATTCTTCCTACCTCATCCAGAGATATTGTAAAAACTCCTGAAAGGATGGATGTGCAGTCTCCAAACTGTGCTTACACAGTAAGCAGAGAAATACATTAATTATTATTACAGCAGTTTGCTCTCCAAATAAATAGCCAAACTGCAGAATCAAGAATTGGTCTTTGTGTTTATTCACGGCACTGTCGTACCAGGTGGGCCCTGGAAGTGGTCCTGCTTTGGACGTTGTTGAGCTCCCTTTTGAATTTTACCCTGGGGTGCACGTTCCATCTTGGGGCGCTCCAAGGGACCTTGGTGGGCAGAGTGCCCCAGCAGAACTGCTCTCCTGCTTCACAGCCTGCAGGCTGGGACCCTGAGGGATGCTCCACCGATTTGCTTGTAAGAGCTGGGTCGAACGGGTCCAGCCTTCCGGCTGGGCAGCCCTCCTGGTGGCAGGCAGGCTTCTGTGGCCATCAGCTGGGATTCCTGTCAGCGTCAGCGCTTGTCAGCCTTTAAGAACCACAGTGAGCACGCGTGTTGTCCACTTTCCCGTCACACGCCTGCTGTGCTGCACGTCGGAGGAGCTCCAAGCTGCGAACACTGGAGCCAGAGCCTGTGCCCCTGTGCTTGAGGAAAGCGTGGCCGGGGGCTGGCCATGACAGCTGGCAGTGCTTTCCTTGGAGCTTTGCTCACTGTGTCCCGTGGTTTTTAATAGAAAACAGCCCCTCGCTTGGGATGTGAAGAATCCACCCTGGATTTGAGCCTACCTTGCCTCCACTTCATCTTTCCTGTCTGGTCATTTGAATCTGTTTGTTTCCAAATTCCTGGCATGATTCCTTAGTTCTTGTCTCTAAGGTCCCAAATGAAGTGAATCTTTGAAGCAAATCCTTACAGATTAGCTCTGGAATGGCCCCCAAAAGCCTCATGTGTTCAGAGGTGGGGCTGTCAGATGGTACCCGGATCCCGGGGGCACTCTGCTCCTCAGTGGATTAGTTCATTGGGCAGCTCAGAGCTGAACTTGCTCAGCGTGGGGGTCCTGGAGGTGTCACCTGGGAGGCGAATCTCCCACCCTACCTTCTCCTGTCTCTGCTGGCTGCCATGACCTGCGCAGCGCTCTCTTACCAGGCCATCCCACCATGGTCACGGAGGAGCGAAGCTCCTGAAACCGTCAGCTAGAGTATCGCTATCCCCTACCCCAAAGTGTAGGTGTCACGTATTTTTGTCCCAGTGATGAGAATGTGACTAAGACAGAAACACAGGTTCTACTGTGTGCATATTTTTAAGCAAATAGTTCTGTTAAAACTGAAGTATGAGATGACATTTCTAGGAAAATGCACTCATTTTTTGCTTCTAGAAATCAAAAGAATGTCTCACCGGGATGCTGCCACTGTATGCAGAGAGTTTTAGAACAAGAAAAGGTCTGAACTGATCCCTGTTAACTCTGTTTCAGAGAGCGGTAAAATAGCTGTGGAGTACAGACCCAGAGAGGAGACTGGGGAAGCCAGAAGTGAAGCGGAACTTCAGGGATTAATTCAAGTACGTGAGCCGAAAGCTGGAGGCCCTGTGGGCCCCACAGCCGAGGCTCAGACGAGCCCACAGTAGCAGGGGAGGGGGCCAGGTGTGGCTCAGTGTCGGAGTGCTGCCTAGCAGGGGTGAGGCCTAGCAGGGGTGAGGCCTAGCAGGGGTGAGGCCTAGCAGGGGTGAGGCCCCGTCCCAGCATCAGTACTGCAGAAAGCAAACGGAGGAGAAGCAGGAATTACGGGTCTTGAGATGTATTATTCTGAAGAAAGTATGAAATTCTGCAGCCAGTTTTGAATGCGCTGCATCTCCAGGGCCCTTCCTGAAATCCTGGCCCTGACCCCTGTCTGAAGTTTGGAGAGTAGAACAGGCCCCAGGTACTGCTGTGGCTGTAGACCCCAGCAAGGGCGGCGCCTCTCCCAGACCCCTCAGCGTCAGAGCGCCCCGCTCTGGGCTCGGGGATCAGAGTGACCGAGGCTCACCGTGCTTGGCTTGACCTCTCTCTGCCCTCCAGACACAGCTCGCCCACTCCGTGACTCCCTACGTCCTCAGTAGGATATTTCGCTGAAGGATCTTTCTGTAAATCAACCCTAGAAAAACCCTTAGCCAGGGATTAAGTTCCAAAGTAATTTCTGAAAACAGTCATCATTTACTACCCAAGGATGTCAGGGTGCCCACAAGAGCTCAGCTTGGGGGTCTTTGATGCTCATGACACCCCAGGGACACAGAGCATGTTGTTCAGAAAAGATAAGGGAGTTGCCCGCTAGAGAGGCAGTGGGAGCCCTTTCACGTGACAGAGTGACAGAGTGAGCGACTGACATAAAGCAGTGAGGAAATGTGAAACTTGTGCATTGGGGGAGGAGGAAGTCGGCACTGTTTTCCGAAACTGGCTCTACGGGTCTGTCCTGAAGAGGTGACTGGAGTCAGCGCGTGTTGAACCCGCTGCTCTGTGCCCAGCGTGTGCAGGTTGGGTCAGGAGGACGCATCTGCTCGGACCTCGCACACCGGGCTGGGCCCGCCTGGAATGATCGGTGGTGAAGCGCATCCTCTAAGAGGGGCTCTGGGGGAGTGAGCCTGTGGGCGCCACCAGCAGAGCTTATGCCCAGCATCTGCTCCCTGTTGCTGCACTAGTGGGGTGGGGTGCGTCCTCCCAGGCCAGTTTAAGGAGCTATGCACCGGGACTGAAACCTCTATAAGTGACTTTGCCCGCCTCCTGCAGAAACTGGTGCCATCGCGGAGCCACAGTAGCCCCGAGCTTAGAGGGGAAGGAATGAAACAGGGAGCCCTCGATGAGTTCAGAGGGAGGGGTAGCACTGGAGCAGCTATTCCTGTGTGCTCCTCGGACTCTGTCCTAACTGGCTCTCACTTTGCAGGTCAGTTGCTTTGCCTGCGAGCAGCACAGCCAAGGGGAGGAAGATTTCAGGGATTTCAACGTGGAGGAGGAAGAACTCGGGCTCCTAGAGCAGGACCAGCCCTTGACCTAGGTGCAAAACAGCCCTCTCCCCTCCTCCCCCTCTCCCCATCCCCCACCTGGCCCCAGACCCAGGCCTGCATCAGGCCTTACTGGAGGTGGGGGAGGGTGGGGCTGGTCACAGTGGGAAAAGCCTTTCCCTGTCTGGCATCTCACAAGCCCATCTGGCTCCAATCTAAATACTGGTTTTGTAAACAAAAGTGTCATAAATAAGGGCAGGTGGGGGAAGGATGAGCTTGCAGTGGGGCCCTGATACCCCACTGAGCTGGATCCCTGCTCCAGCATCTGCACATCACATTCCTGCTGCACATATGACCTCTGTCCTCATGTGGTGGCAGTTGTGACTGCTGGTCCTGGCCGAACCCCTTCCAGAGTAGACCTGACACCTGGCACAGACCACCCTGATGCCCGGGCCTGCCAAGCTCTGGTCTTCACCCAGCTCCCACCTGAGTTGGCCATGCCTCATCACCCCTGCCCCTGTGCCCCAGGGCTTCCCCTCCCAGATGCCAGGCCCACTTCTGGATGGACGGGAGTGCGCTCTTGTGCCTGCACAGGGTTCAGCTGTCCCTGGAGAAGAACC